TCACGAACGGAAAGCGCTGTACTAATGAGCCGACTGGTAACCCGTTCCTCCACAATTGGGTTTCCCTGCCCAGCGGGTTATGCCTGAGCCGCCCTGGTCTTCTTTAACTCACTCTCAGCCGCCTCCGCGCGAGCCTCCAAACTTCGAATACGTTCCTCCTTATTCTCTAATTCTCGACGGGCAGCGCGCAGCCGCATGCTAATTTCATAGGCAGTGTAAAGCCCCTTCACCGCCCCGTGAATGCCTTCGCGAAATACGTCATAGTCCTGGCGACCTACCATTGACTGTTGCACCTCAGGAGGAAAAATTTGTCGAGCAAACTCGACCGCTACATTTGGGTCTCGAACGATCGAGTCTGCCTCTGTCATGGGTCTATTCCCCACAAATACCACAAAGCTTAATGGGCACGGATTTGCGTCAGATTCCCTCTCGACTCGGGGTTGCGGAGATCTGCCCTGCGACTGCTTGTCCCGCCTGGGTGACCTGCTTCGACGTCGAGGAGACTAACGCCTCTCTCGATTCCTAGAACTCCTACTTCCTGTGCGCGAAAGCTCACCACCTCGATTTATGTCTCCGCCCAGCTCAGCCAGCGTCCTCGCTTCCCCTCTGCTGTTAAAGAAGAGTCTGTTCGACATTCACACGATAAATCTTCCTCTAAGAGCTGGAGTCAGCTATTTACTAAGCTCCTAAAGGTTGTACCTTTGTTCATTTATCCTTTACAGAGGCAGCGCCCTCGAGGCAATCTCATTAATTGAGAAAAACTCAATTATCCGGCACCTGAATGATCATGCACCGCCTGGGGCAAGGGCAGATTCATCAATCTATTCAGCTCAACTGCCCTAGACGGCTCACGAATCGATTCTTCAAAATTCTTAAGGTCGTCTCATTCGACTCCCGAATGATCATGCACCGCCTAGGGCAAGGGCAGATTCATCAATCTATTCGGCTCAAGTACCCCAGCCGGCTCATGAATCGATTCTTTAAAATTCTTAAGGTCGTCTCATCCGGCTCTCGAATGATCATGCACCGCCTGGGGCAAGGGCCGATTCATCAATCTATTCGGCTCAAGTGCCCCAGACGGCTCACGAATTGATTTTTTAAAATTCTTAAGGTCGTTTCATCCGGCGTCGGAATGATCATGAACCAACTGGGGCAAGGGCAGATTCATCAATCTATTCGGCTCAACTGCCCCAGCCGGCTCAGGAATCGATTATTCAAAATTCTTAAGATTCATCAATATATTCGGCTCAACTGCCCCAGACGGCATATGAATTGATTCTTCAAAATTCTTAAGGTTGTCTCATCCGGCTCCCGAATAATCATGCACCGTCTGGGGCAAGGGCAGATTCATCAATCTATTCGGCTCAAGTGCCCCAGATGACTCACGAATCGATTCTTCAAAATTCTTAAGGTCGTCTCATCCAGCGTCAGAATGATCATGAACCAACTGGGGCAAGGGCAAATTCATCAATCTATTCGGCTTAACTGCCCCAGCCAACTCAGGAATCGATTATTCAAAATTCTTAAGATTCATCAATATATTCGGCTTAACTACCCCAGCCGGCTCATGAATCGATTCTTCAAAATTCTTAAGGTCGTCTCATCCGACTCCCGAATGATCATGCACCACCTGGGGCATGGGCAAATTCATCAATCTATTCGGCTCAACTACCCCAGTCGGCTCATGAATCGATTCTTCAAAATTCTTAAGGTCGTCTCATCCGGCTCCCGAATGATCATGCACCGCTTGGGACAAGGGCAGATTCATCAATCTATTCGGCTCAACTGCCCAGACGGCTCACGAATCGATTCTTCAAAATTCTTAAGGTCGTCTCATCCGGCATCCGAACGATCATGAACCACCTGGGGCCAGGGCAATTTCACCAACCTATTCGGCTTGAATACCCACAATACTCGGCATATGAGTGATAAATCAATATTGTCATAAGATATTCACTCTCTGAAAGCTCAAACACAACAATGATTTTATCCAAAGTAGTTAAAGGCAAAACATTCTTCATTAACATAACTTCACAAACTGTGTACAAGTGGTGGTGAAATAACAAGGAAATTTTCATTAATAAATTAAGCGCAAATAGTAACCAATTTATACATGAAAACTACCCTGAACCAACAAAAGTCTACTGAACAAAAACTTACATCGGAATTAAAAATACTTAATAAAATTGAAATGTCTCCCAGATCAATCATCGAGGTCAAATTCAAATGGCTCAACGTCCACTTGTTCGTAGGGAATTGGCAAGGCCAATGTAACTCCAGCGGTAGCAATTTGAGCCACCCATGTTTGAACCCCCGATTCTCGAATTTGCGGACTTCATCTACATATTCCTTGAAGGCGGCGCTTTTTCCTGCCTCAAATGCCGCAGAAGCCTCAGAATCGGCTTTTTCCTTGGCCGCCTTGAGCTCCTCTAACTGAACCTCCACCTCGGCAAGTGCCTCATTGGCTAACTTGAGCTATTCTTCGCTCGCATTTGCCCTACTCTCAGCGTCAGAGCAGAGATGTTCAGCTGAGCGAGCCCTCTCCTCCTCTGCTTCAGCTCGTGCACTCTCCATTGCGGCTCTCATCACTTCAAACTCGGCCCTACCCTTTTGACCGTTCGCCTCCTTTTGCAAACGATCAATCCTGCCAAGGGCATTATGCTGGCGGCGGCCTAGGTCCGTGATCTTGCCAACCGTCTGCAAAACAAGTTGGGATCATCAGATACCTTAATGAAAACAAATTCAAGAGAATTTGAGATGGTCACTTACTAGGAGCGCCGACTGCGCAGATAGCGCTACGGCCATAACATCCGGTATGGCGCAAAAGGCTGCATTGTCAGCCGGTAAAGAAATTGAAGCCGCCAGGCTCAACACCACGGCTGGATCCTCAATGGCTGAAGTGTCAGAAGAGATCGGCGTATCTTTGATCTTTGGCCGAACAATAAAAGGAGCAACCACGTTCGACACTTCTAAACGAGGCCGTTTGGAAGCAGGGTTAATCTCTGACCCAGCTTCTCCCTCGGCACTACGCTTTTTGCCCCGCTCCTCCAAAATCAGCCGTTCGTCAATGACCTGTTGTTCAACCTCTTTCCCCGCTTCGGCCGCAGCAACCTGAGTCATCTCTTCAATAACGGGTACGAAAGTTTTAATCAAGGTGGGCTCAAAATGGACGACCTCGGCCTTCTTTTGAGCAGCCATTCGCTCGGTATTTTTCTTTCGCGCCATCTGCATAAGGCTTTCCCCAGCCATACCTTCGAAAAAATCGCCGGGTAGGCCTCTCAAATTCGCAAAAATATCTCCAGAAGAAAACTCTGCCCGACCCGAAGTGGATGGTGCAGGCTGGTTAAGTCCGGCAGCCTCGAACGCCGAGTGTATCGCCTCGTTGACCTCTTCGGCCTCCTCAGCGATCTCTCTGGTTGGTTCGCCAACTACCTCTACCGCCGGCTCCGCGTCTTCTCCCGAATCCGAATCTTCGAGGCCAATTTGCCTAAGGCTTTTGAAGCTGGGAAAGAGAAGAGCCGAAAGGTGTTGATCGCCAGATGGAATTGGAATGTTGTCCGCGGCCGAGAATGTATTATAAGTAGGTTCGTATCGGAGGAGTATGTGAGCAGCTCTCTCTTGCTTTTGTACGTTTGGACTGCCGAAGTATCTGAGTGCAGACTTAATTTCCTCAAGGACTGCGTCGTCGGTTGAGGGAAGAGCCTTCTTCAATCTGTTACCTGCAAAGAACAAGGGGTGATTAAAGGAAAAAAGCCGAATAAAAGGCAGATCAACAAACACGAGGCGTTACATGGAAACCTGGATCACCCTTCCGTCAGGGAATAAGGTCTAGGCGGTCTTCGCCTTCACCGAACTCCCAATTACCTCGGACATTGACCATTACGTCATCAACTCTCTTTCCAGAACTGGCAAGCATGATTATCAAATGATGGTCAGTGTCCTTGGCCCTGAGAAAGTATCGCCTCAGCCGACCGGAAGATTTGGCCAAAGCATAGCAGTACCGAATCACCGAAATTCCAAGGTTGATCCTAAGGCGTCGGTTCAACTCTATCACCCCCATGATGATTCAAAAGAAATTTACGTTGGGTTGAGAAGGAATCAGACTCCAATAGCGAAGGACGACCCTAAGCAATGGATGTAAGGAAAAACGGACTCCGCCCTCCGCTATGGATAACAGAGGGAAGACGATCGTATTTTGATCCTCCCTCTCCATATCAAGAGTACTGTCCGTTGCAAGAGATAAGTGGACATCGTCGGGAATGGAAAAGTGTCGCCGGAATTTGGAAATACGACCGTCAGAAAGGAGGTCTTTCAAGTGTTTAGCTATTTTCGCGGGGATTCAAGGTTTCGTCGAAATCAAAATGAAAAACAGAAAATAGAATTGCAAAGAAGAGAGAAGAAGACTTACGAGGAGTAAACGGGGCAAGGATAGATGGAGAAGAATTGCAGAAAATGCAAGTCAGAGAAGGGATACCTGCTGGCGGTCCAAGAGTCTCGAATACTCGACGAAATGTGCACTCGAAAGGACTGAAATTTCAAATCTTAATAAATGCGAGACGCACAAATGAGGCGGGAAAGTGTAATGATGACCGAAAAGGTGTGCGCATTCTGACATCTGTATTGGGGTACGCGAAGCCGCCTGACCTATTTTGACTTTTCCAATTCAAGACCAAACATGCCGATTAACTACCGTCAATGGGGAGTTCGAGGGGCAATTGTGGGAGCCGAATAATGGCAAAATCAGAAGGTGCGTACCTTAGAAGACTGATATTAATCGGTTGTATCCTACGAGAATGGGAAGCCGAATATAATACATGTGCCGAATAAGTGTAGATCCTTAGAGCCGAATAAGAGAAAGGACAATGATTAAAAAATAGGCCCTGACCCCGAGGATCAAAAGGAACATGTATAAATACAGGAACAATAGATTGAGAAAGGTATGTAACAATCACTTTTTGCTTAATTTAAAAGACAAACTATTTTGAGTACAAGAACTGACTTGTTCGTCGGAGTGCTAATTCCGACACTCCCGACCAAAATGTTTGTATCTTTTCAGGTGACTAGCTAAAGATCACAAGCGTACCCCCAAGATGTTTAAGAGTATTTCCAAAACCACTTGTCCGCAGCTTATAATCACTCCGTTTGATGAGGCTAAGGCTGCGAATGGCAAGAACGATCTCGCAGTGGAGGTGGTCGACGTAGATGAGGTAGGGAAGGGTATGGCTATGGGTTAGTCGGGGTTGAGGCGGTTGAAGGGAACTAGGGGTGCCTCTCTCTCTCTCTCTCTCTATATATATATATATATGTATGTATATCTTTGTTCACAATTTTATTATGATTTGTTAGTTTTCTAGAAATGTGTCTTTAATTGCTTTTAACAGTATGTGAAATAGAGTACAATTTCCATATTAATCAGTTAGTGTGAGTTGAAACCCTAAAATTGCGAATGATGGGTTGAGAGGAGGGCAACCGAGTTTTTAATTTTTAAACCAAAGACAGAAGTAATTTTTTTAAGTTTTGGGATTTGGTAAAAATGACTTCTCTTTTGAAAAAATAAATTGTTACATTTTATTCTCTTGAAAACTTCGATAGTCCATTGTTTTTCCCCCAAAAATTTTAGGTTCTTCTTCTTTTTTCTGTTGTCAAATTCATAGGCTTATGTTCTTCTCTCTCTTTGTACGAATGCTTACATCTGTTGTGTTATTTTGTTTGCTTGGTGGGAATTTGACTTCTTAAGCTTGATGTCATAATTGTTAAGATTGCTTGTAGGCGTAATTACTGCTTTTAAGATTTCCTCTGTTGTGTTTTCTAATGTTTGTAGTCCTGCTCATCTCAAGAAGCTCAATTATGGTCTCAGCATCAGCCAACTCGATGAATTAGCCACTGAAACTGCTGCTGCCATGACTGCCAACCATCCCGACTATGCTTCTGTGAGTTTATTTTGAAAATTAGGATTGTAGCTTTTTAATCTGAGATTATTTATTTGTTTTTAATCAAAGTCTCTTTCTTAATCAATATCTTTCCTTTCTGTTCTAACTGATTCCTTTTCTCAAAGCAAATAGAAGCTTTCATATGCCCCTTTTCCCTTCATTTTTTTGGTTTGGTTATTGATCTGACTATTTTATTTGAGTTAGTTAGAATTAGTGACTAATCAGGGGAATCTGAGCTTTAGTATTTTGACCTATTTAGCTATTTGATTATTCCCATTGATGTTCTGAATTTCTGTCCCAACTTATTAAAGTATAAGCTCCTAGAGTTATAGAAATGGTTGTGTAATAGTTAGATATACCAAATTCAGCTCAAGGCGGCAGAACCTTATATATATATTGGTTGTGGGCTGTATTCCTTTCTATGGTTCTACAAAGACTGGTCTTGTTAATGCTGGTATATTGTAAAAATATTGGAAAAGCTAGCAAATTATGTTTTATAGATGGTCGTTACTTATTTCTAATAAGATGTTAATGGGGTTAGTGATTACTAATGTTTTTATATGTTTCCTACTCTAGTTAACAAATTTTGAAGTTTGATCCGAAGCCATTAAGGAAAGTGCCAACTTTATACATTGTGACTGGATAAATCACTTTCTAAGAGTAACAACTAACCATGTTTACTTTCTTTGTTGTCTCTATTAGTTGACATATCTGCCAATATCTGTGTATATTATTACTGAATATCTTATCCAAAAAAAAAAAAAAAATACTAAATATCATATTTTAATATTTATGTGTTTATTATTGATAGAAAATTTATGTGCGCTTTTTTGTGCTCTTTTTTTTCTTTTTTTTTTTGTGTTTTTACGTGTTCATTACTCTGCCAATTCACATGTTCATTCTCTGGCACAATATAGGCAAAGTTAACACACGACGAATCAATCTATCAATAAGAGGATAACATTGATAGATTGAGAAGCATAATCAATTATTATGTCAAACATATTGTGAACTCATTTTCAATAATATTATGTCAAACATAATCAATTTTCTCATTTTCACAGAATGAACAAAAAAAATGGATAACAAAGCAAAGGGCATCAACAAATTGAAGTGTGATGTATAGAAAAAATACAAATAACACATTATACATAGGACACGAACAAGAATGATAAGAAACAAGGATAAATACAACAATAGAAGCAACCTAGAACAATATATATATATATAACACTAGTTGCATATATAGTAAAGACAAGGCTTTACCCCAACAAGACAGCAACTGCCAACAACTTCAATACAAGTGAAAACAAAAACAATGAAGAAAATCCATTACACATGATGCAAAAATTGATGTTTTATATATAGTAACTATCTTGACATAAAGTTTGGGCAATATTTTTTTAAACTGAACTACAAAACTAATTTAAAAGTTTGTCATGTAACTAATTTGGGGTTATGAATATCTGTACATTTTTTTGGTGGGTAGAACCCTTATTATTTTGGGATTATCTTACTATTTGCTAACTATAATACAGGGTTTTGACAAGGCCGAAGACTTAGACAAACAGGCAAAACAACGAAGAGGTGCCCGCAGGCATGCCCACAAGCAAGGGGCAAGATGCAAAATGATATGCACAAAGCCTAACGTAACTCATGATCATGCAAAGCAGCAAGCTGTAATGAAGCGCACACGCAACAGTTTTAAGCAAGAATGCAAAGCAACAACTACATTTCATGCAGTTTAAGAATGCGGAGAATTACTGCAATTCTCACTGCGAATACAGTGTGCATGTGTGATTGATACACAAAGCGAACGTGTGATAGATACACAAAGGGTGAACACAAGGTGTGATAGATGCACTTAGTGAGCAAAGTGTGATGGATACACAAAAGGTGAACACGAAGTATGATAAATGCACTTAGTGAACAAGTATGATAGATACACTAAAGGTGAGCACAAAGTGTGATAGATACACTTAGTGAACAAGTGTGATGGACACACAAAAGGTGAACACAAAGTGTGATAGATGTACTAAGTGAACAAGTGTGATGGATACACAAAAGGTGAACACGAAGTGTGATAGATGCACTTAGTGAACAAGTATGACAGATACACTAAAGGTGAGCACAAAGTGTGATAGATACACTTAGTGAACAAGTGTGATGGATACACAAAAGGTGAACACGAAGTGTGATAGATGCACTTAGTGAACAAGTATGATAGATACACTAAAGATGAGCACAAAATGTGATAGATGCACTTAGTGAACAAGTGTGATGGATACACTAAAGGTGAGCACAAAGTGTGATAGATGCACTTAGTGAACAAGTGTGATGGATACACAAACGGTGAACACGAAGTGTGATAAATGCACTTAGTGAACAAGTATGATAGATACACTAAATGTGAACACGAAGTGTGATAGATGCACTTCATGAACAAGTGTGATGGATACACTATAGGTGAGCACAAAGTGTGATAGATGCACTTAGTGAACAAGTGTGATGGATACACAAAAGGTGAACACAAAGTGTGATAGATGCACTTAGTGAACAAGTGTGATGGATACACAAAAGGTGAGCACAAAGTGTGATAGATGCATTTAGTGAACAAGTGTGATGGATACACTAAAGGTGAGCACAAAATGTGATAGATGCACTTAGTGAACAAGTATGATGGATACACTGAATGTGAACACGAAGTGTGATAGATGCACTTAGTGAACAAGTGTGATGGATACACTAAAGGTGAGCACAAAGTGTGATAGATGCACTTAGTGAACAAGTATGATAGATACACTAAAGGTGAGCACAAAGTGTGATAGATGCACTTAGTGAAAAAGTGTGATGGATACACAAAAGGTGAACACAAAGTGTGATAGATGCACTTAGTGAACAAGTATGATAGATACACTAAAGGTGAGCACAGAGTGTGATAGATGCACTTAGTGAACAAGTATGATGGATACATTAAAGGTGAGCACAAAGTGTGATAGATGCACTTAGTAACAAGTATGATGGATACACTGAATGTGAACACGAAGTGTGATAGATGCACTTAGTGAACAAGTGTGATAGATACACGAAATGTGATAGATGCACTTAGTGAACAAGTGTGATGGATACACAAAAGGAGAATGTGTGTGATAGATACAGAAAAGTGAGAATGTGTGTGGTAGATACACAAAATGAATGAAACGTGATTGATATTCTAAGCGAATGAAGTGTGATCGATACACTAAATGAATAAGAGTGTAATTGATACACTGAGCGAATGAAGTGGCGATTGATACACTAAGTGAATGAAGAAAGTGTGATAGATACACTAAATAAAGGATCTCAAACGGAACTTCTTTGAATGAACTGTACATACAATATCGTGCATGAATGAGAAAGAAACGTGATAGGTACAATGCAATACAATGCATGATGTTTAAGGAACGCAATAAACAAGCGTAACGGTGCTTTAGAAAGCACCTCATGGGGTGAGTGGCGATGAACCACTCTGCTTTGACGGGGATCTCCCTTCGTGCTCTTCGAACACTTACCTTCAACTCACAGTACAAAGGCTCTGAAATACTGACAAGGGTTCTTCACGTAGAACACTTTGGATGCTGCCTTTTTTCCTGATCATATTCACAACTTTCCCTATTCTCTAACGGGGTGACAGACTAGGTTGGTTCGGTAGCCAGAATTGAGGTGCATACATGCTATCTCAACCTATGGGACTTCCATACAGATTTCAAGCCGGGGATACACCCCTGGGTATTTAAACCAGACTTTAGTCCCGAAAATCGCGAACCTTTACGTTCTAGGCATTAGCCATTCGAACTCTAGTTTCCACCGTCGCAGTTGGTCTCCTAGGAACTCATTGCAAATACGGCCATGATGTCCCTGGCACGAAATGGTACTCGAGGAGAGCACTTCTGATCGCCATTCTAGCTTGAAGCAGACTTGATCTTGAGCTTGAGGTAGAGGCGCACTCATACTTCGGAGCATTGGCAAGACCTGAAGAGGTACACACGGAATGTAGCCTCGGAACTTACTGAAGTTGAAACAAACTCAGATACCCGACATTTTTCCTCTTCTCTTTTGCTTTTTAGTCTGGAACCCATATAGCTTCAGATAGGTCCTGGCTTTACTGTTCTGACATGACCTAATTGAACCCTGTGGTTTTATGAAAGAATGAATCCTATTTTGCACAAATGTAGAGAATTGCACAAAACTCTAAGCACAAAACAAATCATTTTGAAATTAAGAAATGAGTTCTCGACTGGGTATTGAGCCTATGACTGAACACAGCGCACCATGACTCAATAAAGGAAAACAAAGGCAAAACAACCTGAACACAAACACAGACACTCAAAAACGACTCAAGATAAGGACTGAGATAAAACAAAAAGACACGACACTCAGACGTGCACGGGGAGCCTGTTTCTCTAGGTATTGTTTCCCACCCTCTCTCATTTGTGATTCTCACATCACTCGGCCCTCAAGCTCTCTTTTTTTTTCTGAAAAAGCCCTCTTCCTCACTTTTTCTCTCAGCGCACATCTCTCTATTCTTCAATCTCTTATTTTTTATCCCTCCCCTGGGTGGTTGATGGATAAACAAGAAATTACGGGCTCTTGTCCCTAGCTTGCTGCTAGATTCTTTTCCTTCCGCTCACAGCCAGTGAGTGCCTCCCACAGAGGGGTTGCAATACGACCAGACGCGCAGCAGATCTGCAATTGACATCGGTTGACGATGCTCCGCTGGGGAGTTTGGATGTGATCAGATCTGTCCGGATGAGGGAGTGGAATACCTTGCTCTAATCCAGTTCGTGCTTCGCACTTGGCTTGATACCTCGCTGCTTGAAGGATGAAAGAGCTTTCAGCCCTTTGTTGTTAGCTTCAGTTGTGCCCTTTTCTAGCAGGTAGAGTGCCCTTTCTGGCAAGTAGAGTGCCCTTTTCTGGCAAGTATGTTGACAACGGGGAAATGACAGGAAGCCTGACTCAAC